GAACATCATGACCAGTTGCACCGATGTAATATGGCATGAACCATGGTGAAATTCGAAGGTATACGCAAGGTTGTTGAAAATGAGCATCGTCCTGAAGAAAAGCATTAAGATCAGGTAACCGAGCACGTAGGGAACGCAAATGGCGCTGTTCAGTAAGTGAGGAAAACATAATGTCACGGAACAGCGGCGTTTGTAGAAGTGTAATACTTCAAAAAACGCTGGTATGTATCCATTGTCTTGTAGAACGAGTCGCTGAAGGAAACACAGAAGCAAAAAGGCTGATAGCCGACAGCGATGAAGTTGATACCGATTGGCTGTTGGATTGGAAGTGCGTGCAAACGCGGTCGCAGGGATCTGCAATGAGACCTTAACCAGTGTGAGGGCCTCAATGATCATATCAACATGAGCCAACTTCGAGATCGATACGGCTTCATGAGCAGGTGCCGCAGGTCTAGGTAGTTCAGGAAAGACAAAAGTCCAGCAAGCAGATATGAACGCCAGCGAGCTGAGGAAAGTGGATAGTGACTGCCAGCGAACATAATCATCGAGAATCCCACTCGATCTAAACTCCGACCACATGATGAAAGCTGCGAATGTATGACACAACACATCTCACTCCCATGTCCATGACATCAGCGCAATGCAACATGCAAGCTATGAGCATGATAGTGCACAACCGGCAACAACGCGCTGCAGCAAAGCAAGCAATCTTTTGCCTGTGCAACTGTGATAGCAAAACCACTCCGGGCTAATAGGATTCAAGCTTTCAATCATGCAAGAGAGCGGGCTGTGACAATTAGAATACACAGCGCTTTGTCAGCAAGCTTGGTGATGTAGCCAGGTTCCAACCCCCACATGGCCGCCATGGATGGGAAAGATGCCGCGTCTCCATTGGCGACCCGCTGGCGTGCTTCTTGAAGCAGAACAGCACGAGGTTCAAGGTCACGACTGGCGTTCAGACGCGTGGGATGGTTAGCCCACTTAAGCAAAGACGTCGGCGTTGGCGTAGTGGGAGCATGCTTGACAAACAAGCGTGGCGTCGGGCTTTTACGTGTAGTATTCCAGGATCTCCTGAGGCGAGCTTTGACCCGAAGGCGGGGGTAGCGCATGATGCGCTGAATCAGTGGCTGCAAGCATCGGATCATCCTGCTTCTTGTCATGAGGCTGACGAGGGGAGCGACCATGTAGTGAATTGAGAATGGGGCTCTTCACGAAGGTCTTGTCAAAAGATTTCCCATCCACGGCAGCAGCACTAGCCATAGGTAGAATTGCACCTGACTCTGAAGGACAGGGAAGGCGTGTTCACCGCGGACACGGTGGGTGGCGTGGTAGTAGCGAAGGCATCGTGAGCTTTGCGTGTCGCGGCCAGCTCAGCTTTGAGAAGCTCATTTTGGCGTTGGAGCGAATGACAATTCGCGACTGCATCGGCGTTAGGTAGCCGTGATGAAATGGCTTGGTGCTGCTGTGCAAGGTGCTCGAGGATGTTGTTGCCAAACGCTCATGAATCTTGATGCGCAAGAAGGTTAAGATGCTGAGATCGGCGCAGGATTTTTGAGCAGGTGCTCCACAAGAGGGCTTCATTCAGTCCTGGTGCGAAATCCTTCCCAAGTCACAAAGCGGCCATGAGCAAAAGGGCGGAGCAACCAGTTTGACAGGCCACCATGCATTGCTTGCGCTAAACGTACATCACGAATATCGAGCTCAGCCATTCCACGTTCACGAGTGTGAGGAGTATTGGCGACTGAAACTGGTAGAGTGAAGGAGTAGAGCCAGAAGACCGCTTTCAGAAGTCCACTCCGCCGGAGGTGTGAGCCAAAGTGGTTGGCCTGTTGCTCTAGAGCCTGAAGTCAAGCATTGAGTGCTCTGCGTAGCTGATGAACTGGGCGGGGAAGGATTCGCGAATGTAGTCTGTGTTGGCATAGGTTGGTGTGCAGGCAGCTCATGAGGAGCACGATGACATGGATCAAGCGAAATAGGAAGTCCAGGCGTGGGATGGTAGGGTGCAAGGCAAGGAGTAGGAGGGAACGGTGCTGGGGGCATGATGCAGGTAGTTCATCGAGTGGTTGTGCGATGTGGGCATTGAAGGTGGCTGTGGCACCGAAGCAGTGCCGTTGGAACCCTGCCACATCGAGGAGTTAAGCCAATCTTGAGAATCAGCTTGGCGGGAATCATCATCACGATCATTACGCCTGCGTGCTTTGCGAGGTGGTGATTCTGATCGCCCACGCCGGTGCCGAGTGCGAGATCGTTCACGGTCATCACGGCGAGGCATGATCAAGCGCAAGACGAGGATTCCAAAACTCAACGCTTGAGACACAAAGCACTCAAAACCATGTCACAAGCATACAAATGAAAGACAGAAAAGCCGATCCAGCCCAGGCCGCGCAATTGGAGTCATAGGTGAGTGAAATGGCTTACGCTGTCTTCCCTTTAGTGAAACCTCGTTTCTGCTTAAAAGTGAAATTCCGCTGGTCTAGTGATCGACGCCAATGTCAAATTAAACGGCAATGCCGTCCCGGAGCCACGCAATGGGAGCATCCAAGGGTCCCCCGAGACGGGGTAATCACAATTGAACTCCCGAGGGAGGTTGCTTATCTTCAAGTACAACTTGTCGGCTGGGTTAGTTTGAGTGGGTAATTTTCGAGTGGCGAGACCGATGGCGTCCCTCTAGAGTCGAAAACGTTACCAGTTCCAACATGAAGCACAAACAGCAAGAGAAACCAAGGGCCAAAAAGACTTTGTATCACTGGTGCAAGTACGCGCGGATGATCAGTCCGCGCTTCCCCCATGGTGGTTAGCTTCGTTGGCACAGGTCACCACCATGGGCCTGTGCCCCCTGCGTAGTTGGATCCAGGGTGAATCTGGATCTCGGCACACACACAAACACACAAACACACAAACACACAAACACACAAACACACACACAAACACACAAACACACAAACACACACACAAAAACACACACACACACAAACACACACAAACACACAAAAACACACACACAAACACACACACAAACACACACACACACAAACACACACACAAACACACACACAAACACACAAACACAAACACACACACACAAACACACACACACAAACACACAAACACACACACACACACACACAAACACACACACACACACACAAACACACACACACAAACACAAACACACACCCACACAAACACACACACACAAACATACACACAAACACACACAAACAAAACACACACACACACAAACACACACACAAACAAACTCACACACATAAACACACACACACACACACACACAAACTCACAAACTCACACACAAACACACAAACACAAACACAAACACACACACACACAAACACACACACACAAACACACACACAAACACACACACAAACACACACAAACA